CCCTTTTCCCCCCCCCCCCTTCCCCCTTTCTCCGCCCTGTGGCACTGCACTCGTAAGCTGGAATGCAATGTCAAAAAAGGGGAGGTGAATGGGTGGAGATGTACTCGTGGTTGACCTAGGTAGTTGCTCGCTAACTCGGTGCACCTCACCCATGTGGATAACAAGTAGATGAATGAGTAGGACGGAGATAAGGAGATGGAGATTACGAAAAGGGAGGGGTTCAGTATCTCGAAGTATACCTATGTAGGTACCTAGGGAAGCACGAGGTCAAGTACTCGGTAGGTATGTATGTATGACGTATGTGTGTATACATAAAACTATGTACCTAGCTAAATAAGTACCTGGGTCGGTGAGGTACTAGATAGGTAGGTAACCATTTACGTTCTGGTTCTGTACAAGTACCGATACCGAGTACAATGTCTCAGATACCCCGATGTCTGCACGTGTCTGTTACGTGTGGTTGTGTGTATCCCAAGGAATGACGATATCCCAAACACAGAGTCACAGAAAAATAGACCGGGATCAACCGAGACCGACTCTGGAAACCCCCGGACATATCGGGGCGAGTGAGAACGCGAGCCGCTACCTCCACCACGACCGAAGCCGAACCTCAAGTATACGCGTCCAGCAAGGGTTGCAATGCGAGGCTGTACTCTAGGTGGTCTCTCCGCGGGTCTGGTTTTACGTTGCGCATCTACGAGTGTAGTGGTTCCCCCTTGGTTTCGTCTCCAGAGCCGCGCCATTCCTCCTGGTGCGGTACTCGTACGCTGTAGTTTGATATGCATGTACATACTCGGTATAAAACACTCCAACAGCACATGTGAGGCACAGCTTGCGTCATCCCCCGACAAGGATTCAATAGAAACGACACCAACGTGAGGTTGACGTACCTCACTGGTGAACAGAATGGCCGAGTGGTTCTATTTTTATTCATACTCCCATGTCATATCGTATGCATCAATACAAAATGCACGTCCAGACCGAGGACCTGCATACCCAGTACATGCCCAATCTATACCCACACCAGCTATGGAAGATTCCGTCTCTCGTCCTGTATGATCGCTTTCCCATTGCGCCATCGCCATGCAGAGACCAAACAAAGAGGCAATTCCAAGCGCTAGATGAACATGAGACAAAATGCTCAGATTTACAGGCCCAAAATGGGTATCCATGTACCCGCCTCTTGATTTCCATCCAATCCTCTAGTGACAATGTCCAACGTGCGCCCTACAACTGCCAAAATCCAGTCAACTCTCCTCGCAGATTTGTTTGATAGTAATTCAAATTCCATTCTCAAGAGTAGAACTCGTCGAGTCAAACGTTTTTGATTCGTATACCAAAACCTCGACATCTTTTAAGCAAATTCTTTCTTGTCGCCCGCAGTGTCTCCTGCTTCGTGGCGAGGTGCTGCTTCCGACTCGTTCACCCTTTTCTCAAGGACAGCTGGATCATCGTCGCCCCGGTGTGGCTCCGTCTCGGAATGGATACTAACATTCGTCGACCCGGAGCTTGAACTTGACGAAGTCTCCACTCCAATAGGGTCTTCTGCCTTGTCGTCCTGGTTCTCCTCGTCTCGCGGTGGAGGGGGACCGGTAGGAGCAAATCGGCTTCGTTGTCGAATTGGTTCGCCATATTTGTAGAAAACGAAGGGAATCGGTGCAAGAAGACACGCAACGCCCCCAATCAACGACCCGCCACCCCCTACTCCCAGGGCGTTGAACATTTGACTCGTAAAGAGCGGTGCCGCAGCTCCACACGCTGACCGAACGATGGTGTTGGCCGCCATGGCGCTGGCCGTGTACATCAAGTACGTGTCCGTGAGGTAGTTGATGTAAGCCACAAATATAAGGAGGATCGAAGTAGACAAAAAGGTCCCCGCCATGGTGGGAACAATCCAGTGGACGCTGTTAAAGTTCGCCGTCCACGCAAACCAAAACATGGTGACGGCAAACATGATGCCACCAATCATGGCCACTGGCAACCGGTCTTCGGGTTTGCCCGCAATGCCTGCCAAAAGTCGTTTCCGGTCTCGCTTCGAGGTCCAGAAAACAATGGCACCACCCATGCATGCCCCGATAACTGTGCCGATCAGTGGAAGCTCCCCGACGCCAGAATTCCAGCCTCGCTTCTCCTGAAAGACGATCGGGTAGATGGAAAAGAGCATATAGAGCAGCAGATAGACCACCGACATGTAGACGGCACAGAGGATAGAGATGGTGTCGAAGAGGATCTGCCACGGCCGTATCAGCGCCACCCTGAACACATCGGCCAGCCGGCGCCCTTCTGCCTCGGCAGGAGCTTGGAGTTGTTGATACTCGGGCACTCCAGTAGCCCGTAGTCGACGGGCTTTGTTGATCAGAACGACCGGGGGAAACGTTTCGGGGATGGTGAACAACAACAATTCGGTCGCTCCGCCCAACCACAGCAACACGTAGAACGACCATCTCCAATCTTTAGTGAGCTCGAGGAAGCCGGAAATCACAGGCCCTCCAGACGGGCCGATGAAGGTCATCATACTGAACAGCGCCATGGCATTGCCGCGTTCAACAGGTCCCCAGACATCGGCAAGCACCCCCGGGGCGTTGGTCAAAGGAGCGCTGGCGAATGTGCCCGTCAACAAGCGTCCAATGAGCAAGGACGCAAAGTTTGGTGCAAAAGCGCACAGAAAGTTGAATGCCACATAGAGTGTGAAGGTCACGTAGAAAACATATCGCCGTCCATAGAATTCCGACAGGGGAGCAAATATTAACGGCCCCGCCACGTATCCCAGCAGAAATAGAGTGATGACGAGACCAGCCGCGGTCATTGACACGTTGAACTCTTCAGCAATCCCGCGCAGGCATCCCGAGGGGCTGGACGAAGCAAATGTGGCATTGCAGACCAGAGTGACGGCCACGATTGTGCAATACCATCGGCGGCCGGTTGACCATTCTTTGGGGTTTTCGATGTCGCCGGGGGCAAAATCGACCTGACCGTACTGGTTTAGATATGGCTTGATGGTGGGGTCAATCTTTCGAGAACGGTATGGCTTAGCGACAGGCCTGGACAGAATCCTCTCTATCGTCTCCATGGCTGGTGGTGCGGTTGGGGCGGTAGTGGTCGTTCTGGTAGCCAACGGGGGATGTCAAAAGAGTATATAAGGGATGGAGCACGCCATAACGAAAGATATATCCAAAATGTGAACCCTGGCCCGCTCCAAGATTTCGGGTATACGGCACCATGGCCGCAGCGACTGCGTATCGAACGTCCTTTTCTGGCCCCCTAAACAACCCACAAAAAGCTTAGCACGTCATGATTTTTACACCCGGCGCCCTTGTTGATTTCTACAGGTTGTTGGGCCTGTAGGGGAGGCGAGGCTGGCCCATTGGTGGGCGGATGGCCCATCGTCTCCTTCACAGCAACGGATTTTGCATCTTGTTTTCCTAGTGAATGTTGGTAGTTCGGAAGATCGACCGTCGTTGGGAGGTGCCCCTGTCCTTAGAGCCAGCCTTTGTGGATCTCTCTGCTTCGTAGCCTGCTTCAAAAATACAGGGTTAGGACAAAGGTGAGATGAATCACGGCCGAGCAATCCAGCCATCCATCCGATCTGGCACCTGGTCCATTACCACTGGTACGGTACGGAGTACGGGGACCCGGGAGCATTTTTGCACTTCCTTCAAGGTCGATACCATGTCACCATGTGTCTCCAAAGCATGCCCAAGCCCCGGCGTTAGTTAGCTGGTGGGGTCAGATCGCAATTCGGACCTTTATTTGAGCCGAGCATCGTCGAACCACCACCGATTAGTCTTCCCATTCGTAACCATTATCTCCTTTGATGTTTGAACCGAGGTGGCAATTCGGTGAGGGTGGCTGAGTACATAGACTCCGGTCCGCATCTGGTTGTCGCTCTTGTTGCACATGGTTATCCTTCAGCCTTGTATAAGTACGAGGTACTTGATATCAGTCAGCAAGTCCCCAGAGCCCCAGTTAGGCCCCCTCTCGGCCGTCATATCCGCCAAACGCGGACTGGTGGGTTTTGTGTACAAAACATGGTCGGTAGAGGGGTTATCGGAGTCTCGATCGGCCAATCTCCGGGTCCTTTTGGTGGGCATTGATTGTGACTTTCGATCTTGTGCGGTTTCACGCCTTTTGCAGGACTGGCCTCTGCTGGGACTATGGATAACTCACCTCGAATCCTCCTCTTTGGGGCTGGAAGCATAGGGGCCGTTTTCGTGTATCAATTCCAGCGTGCTGGTTGTCAGGTCACAGCAGTGTGTCGGTCCAACTATGACACAGTGAAGCAGAATGGCTTCAAGCTCCACAGCAAGCGATTTGGAGACGTGCAGTTTCGTCCAGACCTGGTTATTAGGAGTGTAGCTGAGTGTCCAGAGGATGTCGCCTATGATTTTGTCTTCATTGCCACCAAATCGTTTCCCGGATCGACACCGTCTCTGAGCGACTTGATCCGTCCTGCCGTCCATGGTCGACCTCAGACTGTCATCGTACTCGCTCAGAATGGAATTGACATCGAGGATGAGGTGGCTCAGGCATATCCGCAAAATCCGCTGCTGAGCTGTGCTGTCTACCTCCCGGCCACGCAGACGGAACAGGGCATAATTGAGTATCCTGAGATGCTGAATCTGCTTGAGATTGGCACCTTTCCCTCGACCGCCCCAGCATCCCACAAAGCAGCCGCAGTCAGGTTGTCGGAATTGGTCATTGCAGGCGGAGGTCAAGCCGAAGTCCACGATGATATTCAGATCGCTCGTTGGGGCAAGATCATGCTGAATTGTGCCTGGAGTCCCACCTGTGCTCTTGCAATGTCTACCGATGCGGACTTTCTGCTTTCGTCTTCTCCGTACTCTTACGACCTGGTGTGGTCCATTATGAAAGAAATCATCGAGCTGGCAAAGAAGATGGGAATCCCAAACGTGGACGAGACGGTTGCGAAGAAGAAGCTGGCTATTGGCACACGTCGGGCAGAAATACGGCAGGGGAGGGAGACGAGTATGGTGCAGGATGTCAAGCAGGGCCGGCTGTTCGAGGTGGAAGCGATCGTGGGTAACACCGTCCGACTCGGGCAGAAATGGGGAGTCGACATGCCTCTCACGGCGATGCTGTACGCCCTGACCAAAGCAAGATTTGATGCCATGGTGCGGGAGCAGAAAGGAGAAATCGATCCGTGATTTGGTCAGTTACAGACCAACACGTGCCTGCCTCTTTATAGACTTCGCCGGCTACTTTCATGGCGAGGATGAAATGCTCCGAGCACTTGCTGTACCTGTCACTTGACAGACAGCTCTTCTCCTGAGCCACTCCTGATGAGATCTACAGTCCTGTCTGTCAGACGCAAGAATGGAGTGTGATCAGTGTCTCGTACGTACCAGGCACGAACAAGAACGAGAGTTTTGTCATTTCTCTTGCTTGGACGTATACCTGGAGGTCTTTTCTCGGGATGGAAGTGCTTGTGCGCCCGGTTAGATAGTATCAAACCTGCGTCAGGCGTCCCTGGATAAACGCTGCCAACTCTACATGTTACACGGATCCGTCGCGTACACCTTCATCAGCCTCAAATTGTACAACCAAGTTTGTGATTCAGCTAGTAAGTCTTTTCACCGTGCCATTTCTGATATATAACCGAGCTCGGTACTTTCCCTCCATTGTAGCAACATAGAGCCAGGACCATGGAGTATACGACATTCTCGACAAGTGTCTCGAGGCTGGTAGAACAAGGCTGCAAGCAAAATCTCAGCCTCGTCAAAAATCCCGAGGTTGGGGTGCATCACGTGACGACGACAGCTCTCTGAAATCCGGTGACGTCAAACATGCGCACAGTAGAGGTAGAGAGAGATGAATAGGCGGGATGAATCATTACGACGGGTAGAGTGAGAGCAAGAGGACTTCAAATCCATAATAAGCGCCAGGAAAGCGTGGGATAAGCATAATGAGCCATTGAAAGAGCTGAAAAGAGAAAGAGAAAATTTTTGCCCAGCAAGCCCAGTTACTAGTGAGGACCGAGACCGGAGACGAAGAAAAATGATGCGCCCTCCCCGCAACTGCGAGCAGCTTCAGACTTTTCCCCCTCCAACACAGTCTGCATCCACAATTCACTCCCACTTTTTTTCTCTCTTGCTTGGTCTACCCTGCTATCATCTCCGTCAAATCACCGGCTCGCCAATTTGACTCATTATTCCTCTTCCCCAGACCTACATTTACTCCCTCCTCACCGCTCACCTTACTTTCTGTTCTTCTACTCTGATCTCTCACCTGCTCTCGGTAGATACCAAATCCTTTCTCTGACAGCTTGCATACTCGCTTCTCTCATTCACCGTCCAAGATGTGTCCTTCAGCCGACGAGGTTGAATCAAACGGCGTCAACGGACAGACCAACGGCACCAATGGTCATGCAAATCGCGTGAATGGCAATGCCAGTATGCCAACCCACTCCCCTGCGTAGTGATTTCTTTTGCTAACGAAGTTGCAGGCCACCCGGGTTACACTGGGATCAACACAACCCCCACTCCCCGAAATGCCAGAAATCCTTACATGCCTGTGGGCGACTTCCTCAGCAACGTTGGCAGATTTAAGATTATCGAGAGCACATTAAGAGAAGGCGAGCAGTATGTTGAAAAAAGAATTCCCCTTTTGAAAAACGGGTAGATGCTGATTCTGTCTGCAAACAGGTTCGCAAATGCCTACTTTGACACCGCCAAGAAGATCGAAATTGCAAAGGCTCTGGACGAGTTTGGTGCAGACTATATCGAACTCACCAGCCCTGCTGCCTCGGAGCAGTCTCGCAAGGACTGCGAGGCCATTTGCAAGCTCGGCTTGAAGTCAAAGATTCTCACCCACATCCGCTGTCACATGGACGATGCGAGAATAGCTGTTGAGACCGGTGTCGACGGCGTCGACGTTGTGATCGGCACATCATCCTTCCTTAGAGAGCATTCTCACGGCAAGGATATGACTTACATCAAGAACACCGCTATCGAGGTGATCAATTTTGTCAAGTCCAAGGGCATCGAGATTCGATTTTCCAGCGAAGACTCATTCCGATCTGATCTCGTCGACCTGTTGTCGCTCTACCAGGCCGTTGACAAGGTTGGTGTGAACCGGGTGGGTATTGCCGACACTGTCGGATGCGCTTCTCCTAGACAAGTTTATGACCTCGTCCGAACACTACGCGGTGTTGTCAGCTGCGATATTGAAACCCACTTCCACAATGACACTGGGTGTGCCATTGCCAATGCCTATTGCGCCCTCGAAGCCGGTGCTACTCACATTGATACTTCAGTCCTCGGCATTGGCGAGCGAAACGGCATTACTACGCTTGGGGGGCTCATGGCACGGATGATCACGGCCGATCGCGACTACGTCAAGAGCAAGTACAAGTTGGAGAAGATCAAGGATATCGAGGAGTTGGTTGCCGAAGCGGTCGCCGTCAACATCCCCTTCAACAACCCCATCACCGGTTTCTGTGCCTTCACCCACAAGGCCGGGATCCACGCCAAAGCTATTCTGGCCAACCCAAGCACATACGAAATAATTGACCCTTCAGATTTCGGTATTGGACGATATATCCATTTCGCGTCTCGCCTGACCGGATGGAACGCCATCAAGTCAAGAGCACAGCAGCTCAAGATTGAGATGACAGACGCACAGTACAAGGAAGTCACAGCAGCCATCAAGAGACTGGCTGATATCAGACCCATTGCTATTGACGATGCGGATTCGATTATCCACGCTTACCACCGCAATGTCAAGCTGGGCAAGAAGAACCCCGGAAACGAGGTTGAACTGCCCAATATGACGGAAAAGGAAAAGAGACTGCTGGCGGAGAAGCAGCAAGAAGATCAGGCAGTACCGGAGAAGAGGCGCTTAGAGGAGACAGTTGACGACCAGATCGCGACTGAGCAGGTTGTCAAGAAGGCCAGAACGACGGGTGTTTCGGCATAGACGGCGGATGGAAAAGGATACGCGTGGCATATTTTTTCGGAGTTTAGGTTATCTGAAGAAAACGGCCTGAGTTATTTCCAGAGATGAGGACGCCTATGCATTGAAAATCTGTCAGAGCCCAGCTGGATTTGCACATAGCACCACCTAAACGACAGCTGAAAGCTCGCCTTGGGAAAATAAAGCAAAACAGGAACAAAAAGGTCTCCATAGACGAGAGTGTACGTCAATGATACAGATGTTTTTGACCAGTCATTAGGTCTGGTCTCATGACCGGCTGGGCGTATCGCGTCTGGGGAATATTTTATACTTGATAGCTGTACCGAGTACACGGAAACCACGCTCTTAACGAAATACGAGATGGGCTTTCCCGGAAAATCGATTTGCCGACATCCGGTATACGAGGAACGAAGCGACGTCAAGCTGCGGAGAAGGACGTTGAAGCGAACATATGAAAATGCGCCGTGGCTGTCGTCACATTTTTGTGACGGAAAAAGCGCCAGCTGCCCTCCCGGTCCTCGTCTCGAAATTGCTCGCAATCCAACTTTTTTCTATGTCTCGTCGATGACCCAGAAACTCGGTCCCATCATGGGCGGCTCGTCTCCTCTTCCCCTCAGTCTGCAGAGCAAGTTCCAGCGAGCTCGAGCTGGTCATTTGGCTCGGCTGAGGGACTACCAAGGGAATTTCAACATGTATGTCCTGCTTGAGATGGTGCTGTGCTGGATGTTCTGCAATTTCAGTCAACTAATTCCCGATACCTGCGCAGACTCCGTAATGTAATCTTCATCTTCTTCGTCCTCCGCATCCTTCGGAGATCATTCTACTTCCTCCGCGGCCACGGCCTCCTCGGCTCTCTCGCGCTGCTTTACCACACCACGCACAAAACACTCTACAGAATCTTCCTCAACCTCCCCGGCGTGCGGTCAAAGGTCGCCAGGCAACTCGAGGCGGCACGAAAGGACCTCGAAGATAAACTGGCGCCCAACGATCCCGGTGTGAACCGATACCTGCATCTCCCAAAGGAGCCATGGACCAAGGATCAGTTAAATACCGAATTGGAGACGTTGGCATCGATGAAACGCACGAGGTGGGAAGAAGGCAAAGTCTCTGGCGCAGTCTACCACGGCGAAGAGGAGTTGTTGGACATTCAGTTTCAGGCCATGCGGTCCTTCAGTGTGGCCAATCCGATCCATGCCGACGTGTTTCCCGCTGTCCGCAAGATGGAAGCTGAAATCGTGGCGATGGTTCTCGCCATGTTCAATGCCCCCGAGACAGGTGCTGGGGTGACAACCTCGGGCGGTACAGAGTCAATCCTAATGGCCTGCCTGTCGGCAAGGCAGAAGGGCTATGCAGAGAAGGGCATCAAAGAGCCGGAAATGATCGTTCCGCATACCGCGCATGCTGCGTTCCACAAGGCAGCATCATATTTCAAGATCAAGCTCCACATTGTCCACTGTTCGGCGCCAGAGTACATGGTCGACATATATCGCGTTCGCCGACTGATTAACCCCAACACAATCCTCCTCGTGGGAAGTGCCCCGAACTACCCGCACGGGGTTGTGGACAACATCCCGGCTCTCTCGAAACTTGCCGTGACGTACAAAATCCCCTTGCATGTGGACTGCTGTTTGGGATCCTTTCTTATGCCGCACCTCTCCAAAGCTGGGTTTCCCTCACCCTTCGCCGAGGAGGGAGGGTTCGACTTCCGCCAACCGGGAGTCACATCCATATCTGTGGATACGCACAAGTACGGCTTTGCTCCCAAGGGCAATTCGTGCGTTTTATACAGAGACCGGCAGCTACGAGAATATCAATACTTTTTATGTCCGGAGTGGTCCGGCGGTGTCTATGGAAGTCCCTCCATAGCTGGCTCTCGGCCTGGAGCGCTGATAGCTGGATGCTGGGCCAGTATGATGGTCGTGGGCGAGAAGGGTTATATCGACGCCACGAATAAAATCGTCACCACGAAACAAACGATTGAAAACGCCATCAAGGAACACCCTATCCTGAAATCGGCCTTGGGGATATTGGGCAAACCGATGATTAGTGTGGTGGCGTTTGAATCGCTCGACCCTCAAATATCAATCTACGACGTCGCCGACGGGATGTCTAAGAGACAGTGGCATCTCAACTCGCTCCAAGATCCCCCGGGAGTGCACGTCGCCGTGACCCTACCCATGACGAGACCCGGGGCTGTGGACGGGCTGATCGATGATCTCGTCGCGGTGGTCAAGGAAGAGAAGGAGAAGATTGTCAGCCAGCAAGTTACCGGTAGCGGAGTTGTTGGTGGTGCTGTAGTGAAGAAGGACAAGACCAAAGGGACCAGCGCCCAATTGTATGGCGTTGCGGGAAGCTTGCCCGACAAGAGCATCGTCGAAAAGCTCGTTGTGGCCTACCTGGATACGTTGTACAAAGCCTGATGAAATGATTGTTGTTGGTCAGACACGGCAGTTCAAGGCGAGCCATGATGTGATTTCGCGCTGGCATTTGAATGTCCGAGGAGGACAAATTTTGACACATCGTTACTTGAGCCGTTGACATCCTCCCCGGCCTTTTATGCTCACTACTTTCTTATTCTGATTCTCCTTATCCATCTGTGAGTGCATATATATAGAGAATTTCAATGGACACGCCATTACCGATCCCGCTGGTATGATAGGGAGACTACTGTTGGAGCTTCTTCAGAGGATAACAGGCCGAGGAATGGGTGGTGGGTGTTTGCGACGAGGCTGAGTGAGAGAACGAAAATGAATAGATGCGCTACGGTGGAGCATTGAACTTTTTGCGCTCGCGGTACTGTCACGCATCGAGCCCGCAGCCGCACTTTCAAAATAGTACTTGTACAGGCGTGGCAGGACAGGCAACAGACCACATTCTTCAAGACAAGATGGATGTGCCTCATGACTTCTCTCCACCAAGACGCGAACCGCCTCATGCATGTGGATAAACCCGGTTGACCTGCCAAATGGCTTCGCGGACACTTCCCTCACTGACACATTCAGCGCAGCACGAGCGGGTGCGAAGTTGTCTAATGACCGACCATGCTCACTGAGCCTTCTATGTTTCAGCCGTTCCCTCTCGCATCTGAGCTCCCCTGAGGCCTTATCTGGCCGGACAACGAGCAAGAGCGTATGAGGGAGGTTTTGTCACAGTACGGTATGATCTACTCCGAGGCGTTGATGTGCGAGGTATTGACCTTGCGAAGCGTGTGGTAGTTTTGTAAACCGCCTTCACCAAGCCCTTGAGCGACATGAACTTATATCTGTCGTCCCCAGCCTCCAAAACCGACCTGGAACCAGCAGTCCACACACAACCCTACACGTACGGAATACCTCATCAAGGCGCACGACAAAGATAGAGGAGACTAGATTCAATACGTCAAGTCTGACAAGATGATTTTCTTCTTTTTTTTTTCTTCTTCTTTCATTATCTCCGCCATCACTCGTGACGATAGAAACGGATCGACGCTGGTTCGCGAATATTATTACAAGTACAACGGACGTTCCATTATCGTGCAATGCGGATAGAGATGGAGAAATAGATCTTCGTCCCCAGCGGCAGCGCCACTCGTCAACCCGCAAAATCAATTCAACCATCTTTCCCTTCTTCCGCTCGTGTCATGCATGGGCCCTCTAATATGAGGATGTGATATAAATTTATTTCCGCGCGCAAAGTCCCGATCTCTGAAAAATCCCCACAATGGTCTCATGGTCGGCGCCGGAACAGAAACGTGATAAAAAGTCGGCAACATCTCGCTCGCTCCCTAACGCCTGTGTTTCTTTTGTTTGTAGCTCCATCTGATCAGATTCGCCATGCTCGGAGATCCCGTTCGTAGTAAAGACATGGTTGGAAAAGGGCAGAAATGTCAAGTTCAAACAGTAGAGTGAGGAGTTACAAACGCCCTAGGTCAATCCACATGAACATGAAACAGCCCACGAGGGCATTTACATGATGATTTGAGGCACTGGAGAAGTCTGATTAGCGATTGTCCTGTTCGGTTTCCACCACACGACTTACCCTCGACATTGGCCTTGATGCTCTTGTGGGGGAGAACACTGCCACCGTTGACGTAGATCTCGTCCCCAATGGAAACGTCATCACCCAGAACAGTGACATTCTCTAGACGAGCCCAGCGACCAACGGTTGATCTCCAGCCTGGAACTCAATTAGCTCGTAGTCTCGAGACATCTCCAACTGGTAAATACGTACCGATGATGGTGGACTTGACCCAGGCGTGGTCCTTGACCTTGCTGTCCTCCAGCAGCACGCATCGCTGCAAGCGAACACCATCACCGACCACACAGCCAGGTCCAATGACGACGTTGGGGCCAATACGGCAATTCTTGCCAATCTTGGCTGTGGGGTCCACCAAGACATTTCCACCGTAGACGTAGGGTTCCGAGTGAGGGACCAGCTTCTTGGAATTTGTTTTCGCCAGCGAAGACAGGTACAAGCAGGTGCCACTCAAAAAGTCCTTGGGTTGACCGACATCCATCCAGAAACCGTCCAGGTCGAACGAGTGCAGTTGGCCGTCTTTGCAGATGGCAGGGAAGGTCTCTTGCTCGATGGAGGTAGGGCGCAGCTCGATTCTCTTGAGAATCGAGGGCTTAAAGATATAGATACCGGCGTTGATGCGGTTGCCGACGAACTCGACGGGCTTCTCGACGAATCGGTCGATTCGGGAAGGATGGTTGGGCTTGTGCACGATGACACCATATTTGCTGGGCTCTTCGACCTTTGTGACGACAATGGTGCCCTCCTCGCCGTGGGAGTCGTGGAAAGCAGCCAGTTCCTTGAAGGGGTAGTTGCAAATGACATCCGAGTTCAGTACGAAAAAGTTGGAGTCATCCTTGCCCAGGATCTTCTCGGCCAGCTTCAGTGGACCGGCAGTGCCCAGGGGTTCGGATTCGACCGAGAATGTGATCTTAACATTGTACATATCCTCATACTTCTTCAACGCATTCGTCATGACATCGGGTCTGTAGTTGACGGCCAGGACAATGTCGGTGACACCAGCGGCAGCGAGAGCCTCGACCTGATGCTCGATCATGGGTCGGTTGGCAAACTCGACCAGCGGCTTTGGGAGAGTGAGGGTCAAAGGACGCAATCTGGTACCGAAGCCACCAACGCTGTAAAGGACAGGGTTAGTCGAGGTGGAAGAAAAGGGGGGAGAGCGGCGTGGTCGTACAGAATGAGGGCTGTTGCACGAGCAGTCAGTAACATTCACCAGAAGATAAGGGGATGTGAGATGAGATGGCATGGCTTACCCTTCATGTTGACTTGGGGACGAGGTGACGACGAAGACAGGAGGTAGTGAACGGTCTTGGTGTGGTCAACAACGAATGAAACGTAGTTCAAAGACTACTATGTCGGTGTGCAGGCGGGTCTGGTGATGTGTGTTGTGAGAGAGACGAACTGGTTCAAAGAGCAGAAGGGAAAGCCTTTTGACAAAGTCTGGGGGAAGGGTGGTGTTATATGAGGGCGTTGTTGTGCGGCGTTTTGCTCAATGTCACTCAAGAATTAATTGTGTTCCAAATCAGCCACAGTGTTTGATTTTGGGAAAGGGAAGGGTGAATCAATAGTAGTGGGTGCAGGGTCACGACTCGCGCGGTCAGTAGTGACGCCCCCCGTGCGCCCCCCACCTTGGGTCACTTGTACAACTAGGGACTTAGTGCCAGGGCCCCAAGGCCACCGTGGCCAGTTGGGTGGTGAGCCTCAGCTTTGGGTTTACCCAAGCCACCGCCGCGGATGGGTTTTAGTTAAAGAGGTTAATTGAGTAGGTGGGGTGGACAGGGTGGACATCCCTGCAACAGTTCTCCGACTGTTAGCCCAGGCATGCCAAAAGTAATGCCAGAGGTACCTCCACGACCTCCCAACGCGTGTACCCTACGCGAGAGAGAAGCCCTTAAAAAAATTCTATCGTCCCCTTAGTTTATCGATAAGGCTCAGCTCGGCAAGCACCTAAAAGTCAACTACGACTAAACCCGGTTGAACAAATCTTAGCGGAAACGCCCATTGAGTACCTCCTAGGTGTCTAGTAAAGTGACCCCCTGAAATCTGCGAGCACTTAGTCAGTCCTTATGAGGCATTTGGTGGTAACTTCTCGGGGTGGCCAAGGAGAAGTGAGAAGTGGTGTTGAGCCACCATGAGCCCTCCCGGGGATGCAAATCTCGTGCGTGTCTGCATGCAATTTCGCACTCTGCCTCGGGATGCGGGACCCTTTTTTTCCTCGTTCATGTACCAATGTTCAAGATACAAAGTCTGGAACCCTTGGCCCCTTTTTTCCTTCATTCTCCCCCTTTTTAGTTATAATGCCCTCTACCGAGTACAAACAAGTGCAGGCTCGAGGACATAGACCTAGAAATAAGGCACATCTTAATCAGTCCACTCGTCACGCAATAACGCCAACACGCCGACCCAGACGCTCGTGCGATTGGCTTGGTCTTTGACTGCTGCATTGAGTACCGAGTACTTGACCGCTTCGTGGGCTTCTTTTTTTTTGTACCTCGTGATGGTATATGAAATGGCAAGGCGCCCGTAGGCCCGTGAGGCGGTAATTGGGATTGTCTTGGTTCACAACCCACAAGGTGACAAGCACATAAGCTACTCGGTACTTTGGACTTGGACAAAAAGCAAAGACACACGAGTCCTTCTCTCCTTTTGGCACTTGCTGGTCACGAGGCCATTTACTTACCCGTCTCGCCGTCTCCTCCTCGTCTTGTCCTTCTTTTCTTGGTCTAAAGAGTTTGATGGTATTTTTAGTGTCAAGCACTCGCCACTCACCAATAATAACATTGTACTTCATGTCTCTAACGTCGCGATGCGATTCGTCAACACTGGCTACCTTCTCTTCCCTCATACTTGGACAGAGTACTCGTAAAATACACTCATCTCACTCTTGAGGGAATTAATTCCTTCTGCTATTTTTCCTCAATCATCTCTCTTGATAATACTACCTAATGCACATATTTGTATATAGGGTCACGGCACAAGAACATGACTTGTACACCCAGATCTCGAAATGTTTCTTCGCCGGCAGAGTATTACTACCACCACTATAGACTATACATACGCCGCACAATGATACCAAAACCCATCCAATGCAGTCATGTCTCGTGACTATTACTACAATACACGGGAAGGGCGAGAGCAGAACCTCCCAAATCCCCCCTTTGCCATCTCAGTCCTTCTGTGTTGCTGTTATTACATCCTCCAGGCTCAGAGTTCCCAGCCTTCGTCAAAGATCGCAGCAGATCTCTTGTCTCGTAGATCCTCGTGGTCCTCGTCTTCTTCCCATTCATGGGGTATCCTCAGGTACGAACGCGTAGCCGTATCCAGCCTTGTTCTTCCTCCCTCTTTTGCCTCCTGGTGGTGTTAATCCACCCCCCATCCCTCCCTCTCGTTCACCCACAAACTCCATTAGCCAATCCCTCACTTTCTTTACCTTCAACACCTGCGGGTCCTTTCCCACATTGGCTGTCCGGAGGTTGCTCACCGAATATATACCAGCCAAATCGTCGTCATCCACTTTCTTGCGGAACAACAGATCGATCTTGGTGACATCGCCCTTTAGACTCTGCCCGTGTACTTTGCCTCGGAACGAGCTAAGTGCCACGTTCTGAAGCAACACCACATCACGAGGTTTCATAAACCGCAAACTTCGACGTAGGATGCTTCGGCTCCCTTCCGGGTTCGCATTGGCGCCGTCCTTCCAGTTCACCCGCATTTCTTTTGGCAACCACATGGAGATTGGAAAGCCGGATTTCGTGTCGTCACCCACCATCATCTCCACCAGGTCCACCTCCTTCGGTCGGCCATATTTGGCCCCTGTGATGACCGTTCTTGGCGGCGCAATGGAAATAATGCCCACAATCAAGTTGACTGTCATGGTTTGCGGCGAGATGGTCTGCAAGTACCTTGCATTCGGAATGTCTTGCAGCTCACTCAGCGTTTTCGGTCGCGGCGCTTGACTTAATCGTCTCTGAGAAGGAGTCCGAATTATTCCCCCAGGGGTACCGGGTACCTGCTGTGCCGAAAACATTTCCTCGTTCGATTCATAGGTGGGCGTGCCAGGGGTGATGGAGTCGGAGAAGTGCGAAAGTTGGGATGATGGGATGGCTTCGTAGATGGAAAAGGAATGGTCGTAGTACTCGGATAGAGGCCCTCCTTCGGATGTGTTGAACGCGCCTGTGCTGTTGGAAGCGGTGTCTGGGATAGACGAGGAGCCGCCGGAGAGTGAAGGTTGTGACTGGGCCTCACTAATGTCACTGCTTGGTGTAGATGCGCCGAGTAGTTCGGAAAAGGAAAAGAATTCGGCGCCGCTCTGGTCAACCTCATTGGCCTCATCCTGTTGCTTGCCTGGGTGCGGGAAGGCAATGCCTGGCGCCGTCGGGCGTGCATCGATGTTGAGTTTGGGCAAAATCGGGCGCATCTGGAGCTTCTGCGTTGTAATCTGTCGCCATTGGGCACCGAACGCTTTGGATGAGGGCGATAACGGGGTCTGCGAGTTGGGTAGTTCGTTCTTGTGGGAGAGAGATTCGACGTGGGTAGAAGCCGGCAGAAGGGATTTCTCGCTCCAGTCGAGCTTCGCTGACTCGGGAGCTCCCGCCAGGATGATCATCCGGCTGGTCATGTACTGATTGAAGGGGTCCTAGTTCTTTGTGGAACGTCGCCGACACGGAGAGGAAGCCCAGAGCTCCAAAGATTCTCTGCCGCTGAATTTGTAGTCGGTCAATAGGGGAAATCCGGATGACGTTGGCGACTTTTTGAAAGGGAAATTATTTTCCCCCCTCAAAAACCCGGGATTCGTTTTTGGTCAGACCGTGACTCAGCTCCAAGATTCATTCGGGTAGTTGAGCCCAAGTACCAAGACTGTAAGAGCCAAGGATAGACCGAATAGAGCCTCACGAACTGTCCCCGCAAAGATTCAAAGCTATACGAAGAGCTCGATTCGAGATCTCGGGGAAATAAAAAAGGATTTTGAGGAGAGGGAGTTGAACTGTGGAGGCGGATGTGGCGGATGATTCCAGTAATTTGTAGTTTGCTGGTGCCTTGATGGCTTGGGTAGCTTGTCGCTTGTTTCCTGGTGACTGTTAGGCTCAGTGAAATTGTCCCCGGTGAGCCCTGACGCTAGGAGGGCAAAAAAACTTGATCAGTCTGTGCCCGATCTCGACCTGCAGTTGCATTCGACGCGTTAAATTCCACAGACACCACCACCAGACCCTGTCACCCAGACCAATTGGTTCAATTGCTGGTGCGTGAGAGTCGCCGGATGATGTGAAAATCGACGGTCTAGTTTGTGGCGCGTGATTAGGCAGGGAAGATGAGCAGCGCCGCAGGGACAAATCACAACAAGTCCTTTGTTTTCCCGAGCTCTTTTCTGGGGGAAAGACAGAGAGGGAGGCGTATGAGGGAGCGAGAGGGAGAATAAAGAGTCGGTGACGAAGAGAGGAACCATGGGGAACAAGTAGATGGGACCCGGTATGCAGCTTGAAGATGTTGATCGATCGCAGGGGGTTCAATTGGCGTCGTCGGCTTCTGCCTTGCGGGATGTGATTGGTGAGTGGCACTGACTGCGCAGCTTCGAAGCCAGAAAAATGCATTGGCACCATCGGGGGCTTCAAGTTTGGTTGGGACGCCAAGTCAGATCCCCAACAAAGAAAAATCGCGGGTTTTTTTGGTGCGTGGATGCGTGGATGCGTTTCCCCAGAATTAAATTTGTCCCGCGGATCCAATCTACACCAGTAAGAATACAAGTAGTTGGACGGGACGCACTCCAGGTGAGCCGAGGTGTCAGACGCAGGCAACAGGCTGCAGCATTTTGGGGGGAAATACGAGATACGATGGAAATGGTTGGGAAGCTGCAGGGGACGGAGGGGGTACATGCAGACGGGTACATACCCCGTACCTCGTACCTACTAATAGACAGGTAGGTATACGGTACCTCGGTTTTGGTGACACTCATTACCAATTTCAGGTATCTGATACTTGTGGATGTGCCACAGTGTCTTCATTACCACGTCAACCCCTCGACAGCTCAACAAGGTGGCCTAAAAGGGTTCTTGGGAAACAACAGGCTCTTTGTTACTGGGATTGCAATCGTCAAACTCGTCATCACCCCTCACCATCTGCAGAAAACCGCCAGCATGAACCAGTAGTAGGGACAAGCTCACCATCTGTTATCCATCATCCCATCACAGCCCCTCTGCAACTACATATTCTTGGTTTTGATCTATCGTTAGTTCTTATCTTAGTATCCATGATATGACCACCTCCAAACTCCATGCTTTTAGGCCCAAGAAATACTCTGCTTCCTTTTTCCTGTCCCCGGGTCGAATCTTCTATGGTTTTAGTCGTCGAACTTGAACCCCTTTCCACCACTTATGTCAATGGCTCCTCCACGATAGCTGCCCCGCTTCTTCTTGTTCTTCTCTTTGGTGAACCCTTTGCCTCGTGTGACAGACAAGTCTTTGTATGCTCGTTCGGCGTAGTCATAGCTTCGGTAGGCATTGCTGATATGAGAATCTGCCGTTGCCTGGGCTGACAGTTGTGCCAGCGGAGTTGGCCTCGCGCCTTCATGCGCCTTCTTGGTCGCTACCGCCTGCTTTTTCCCTCGGTTTATCGTTGCGTCAGCTTGTCTGGCAGATGACTCGTCTGGCTCAACAACATCTCCTGTAACTGTTCCCGATGATGAATCAGATAGACCGTCGGCGGCACTATCGAGTTTTACGTGTCCCTTGAATACATCTGTGCTCATTGCTCCGCTCTCCACTTCGTCTGCCTCGCTGGATGAGTCTTTGGAATCACCCGACTCTTCCTCAGAGCTCGAGGAGGATACGTCGCTTGAGGAACTCTCGTCTTCGTCCTCGTTGGCCTCAATCTTGGCTCGCTTTGACGGCCGATCATCTGAATCTGGATCCGAGTCCGAATCCGAAGACGTCGATTCTGGCGAGCTGGATCGTGCCTTCCGCTTGAGAGTCGGGGCTCTTCCGCTTTCGTTCGAGGTGTTTGAAGACTTCTTCCGTGGTGCCTTGGGTTTTGCTTTGGCACCAATCTCTCGCTCATCGTCGGCATCGCTGTCGGAGGATACCGATGAAGAGCTTGACGGGGACGAATCTCTCTTGCTGGCCTTGGCTCTCTTCAATTTAGACGCTAGCTTTGTCTTCAACATGTCTTCATCTGTCCCTGAGTCGGACTCGGACTCTGAAGGGGATGTGTCCTCGCTGCTCTTGACCGCATCGCTCTCTTGACTGCTGCTTGCACTGCCAGACTCTGAGTCTGACCCTGACGTCGCGTCCTCGCTCGAATCCGAGGTGGTGCTATCTGAAGAGTGCTGTGTAGATTGTAACGCCTCTTGCTTGATCCAGTTATCAACAATCTCTTGTAGATTAACACCATCTTGTGAATCTGCGACGCTAAGGACTTCGACCGACTGCTTCATTCTTTTGAGGTCTTTCTGAAAAGCCTTGACAGCCGAGTGAAATCCATTTTCAGCGAGGAACGAGGATACAAGGGAAAGAACCTGGGTAGACGGCTTGGATGCGTCGCGACTGGATTCTGTTGAGGGCGCCTTCATCTTGGACAAGCACTGAAAATTGACTCGCGATGTCAGCGGTCGCGTAACGGCGGGGAAAGCAGCAGAGTGCTAAGCTGAGTGCTGGAAGCACAGCAAAGCCTAGTTCATCGAGTAAGAAGGTCTAGGACAAGTGAGACAAAATTCACAATGGCAGGTGTTGACCGTGAGACGGTCGCACTTGACCTTGGAAAATAATTTTCTCCAACAAAAAGTTGTAACAACCATTTTCGGAAAGTGCGGCGAATGGGTGCGGAGAAATTTCACTTTGGCCCTGACATCTGACCATGCTGCCGTGTCTGCTATGTATGTACACAACCAACAAGTCCTCGGATCGAGAGAAGAGCGTCTTCACAGTTTAGTTCTTGTATATTGTGTTTGATTCTGACTACACATCGGCCGACTTGGTGTCCTCTTAGCAGATGTTCACCATGGCCACAGACTGTGCGACTCGACTCGTCCATTATCACCTGTGAGAACGGAACAATCTACCCCTGTCAGCAGTAACAATGCATACGATCTTCCTTCGAACTATCCTCATCTGCGCGCCAAACGAAGCTCAAGAGGTTTCTTCTGCCAGAAAATAAATGTCTCCTGTTCTCCCCAATCATGCATGGATGGTGTGGTGTTCCAGCTGATGTCAAAGACATAGATAGGTTTGGCCAGTATGAGCCGCATCTCCGCCCAGGCCAATTTCTGTCCAATGCACATATGTCGTCCTACAAGGAAAGGCTGAAAGACGGCCAGGTTGTTTCCTCCACTCTGCTCCCTGAGAAACCGCTCTGGAATGAACTTGTCAGGTTCAAGAAAGTTGGTTGCAGATCTGAATGCTGGATATTGATTGACCGCAACAAATGTCTGAACACCGGTTAGCAAGAGCAGCAGACTAAAGGACGCAAACATCTTACTCCGCCAGGCACCCTTTTCCCACATATCTCTTCCCCACCAGCTGGCACGGTGCGAGGAACCCCTATGACGCTAGGTGGACCAAGCCGCATGCCTTCGTTGATCACAGCGGTTAGATACTCGAGCTTGGATGCGGTGGCCACGTCGATCTCTTGCTCGCAACCAAAGGCAGATCTGATCTCCTGGCTAACCCGTGACATTGCCTCGGGCGCTTCCAACAGTCCGAATAATATTGCTGCAACCGCCGAGCTCACTGTTTCACTGCCAGCAAAGACAAAGACACTCATGTTCAGCTCCAGCTCTTCCGGGGTCACCTTCTCCGCCTTCTCCTGATTGTATCTGAGCACGGCATTGACAAAGTCGGGCCTTTGCTTTTGGAGTTGGAGCCTTTGACGGACCTTTTGTGCGCTCAGTTCTCGGTGATAGATCATCTTCTGGCGTACTTTGGCTGGTAAGGCACATTTCAGCAATTTCTGCAGTGGTGCATAATGGTTGATCGAGGCCACCAGAGCTACACCCTTCCCAAAGCGACAAGCTATGTCAACCCAAGGGTGTGGACTTCCTGTCGACGAGCTTCCGAAGGATTCACCGAACGACAAGTCACCCGAGATATCAAACGTTACGAAGTTCAGCCAAGACACGATATCGATTGTTGCACCGCCATCCTGGGTAGTCATGGTTCGAAACCTCTGCATCATCAGATCGACATAACTTTCAATCAGTGTTGAATGATCCTTGATTGCTTTCTCACTGAAAGCGCCCATGAAGGCTCTTCGATATCGAGCATGATGGTCCTCGTCGTGTCCCATGATGCTGTAAGGCTCGTCTGGTCGCGTCTTCCGAAACCATACTCCGCCTCGTTCGATGGGAGCGTGACCTGGTCTTGAGGTATAGATGTCTTTCCATGCCTGGGCGTCGATGTACGACAATTCATCAGGAGCAGTTCGGACCACTGGGCCATATTTGTCATGCAGTCGAAGGAGATCTCGATGTAAACAGCCTCGCTGAAGCGCAATTACCCACGTGAGACGGGTTGCTCGCCATAAGATTGGACCTGGGTAATGACAGAGTGGATGAAGGAAGAGGTTGTACAGAAGCCAACAAACGACAATCTTTCCCTCCTTAGTGTTCCATCAACTTTGACGCCGAGGTCGCTTACCAGTACGACTGCACCGAAGACGAGCATAAGTGTTCTACCGATCTCGCCCAAATCCGGCATCGTTACCGTCAAGTTATCCATGTTTGGTCGAATGGAGATGGGAAACGGCAATCTCTCTATTTGGCGGAAGCGTTACTGATAGACTACAACTTCCACAAGAGCGCTCAAGACCTTATTTTGATCGTCGTCATTATGTCCAGGCTGCAGACTCAGGGTTCGTGTCAGTAGCCAATAGGCTGAATTGCCCCGTCTACCTATCAGACCTTTATGAAATGATATCCACATTTACTGAGAGCTCCAGGCTACCCCACCCTTCATCAACGGTAACATCCTCAAGACGAGGGCAGCCTTTTCCTGTAACCCGTCTGATTTACATACAACAAGAACACAAACGCCCGTTGCAACCTTTGTTGTTATCGTTGTCATCGGCATCACCATTATTGTAACTCCTGCGGTTGACCGTATGGCATGGACCAGTGTTTCGGAAAAAGAGGAGCATGGATTTTTCTTGGGCCTTTTCCCAGAGGCAGTGCTCCTTAGCAAGAGTGCAACCTAACGGAGCCCCCAAACATCTCGTTTCTCTTGGGATGTGAGGACGACCCTCCAACCAATCGACATTTGCTTCGATGAAAGGTCTATCGAGGCTGAGAACTTGAGGGTAGGAGCGGCTGATTCACCGACGATGGAGTGAGGACGCTGGAGATCTGCGACTCGACACCCGACGCTGGCTTCTCATTTACAGCCTGGCTCTGAGGCTGTGGTTGGAAGTATTCTGTTCTACCATTGGTCCCTGGTACTTCGAGGTTGCTGGTGCCTCTCGGGGTCAGCGGCGTTGGCCCGATCCCGAGGGTCACTTCCCTATGCCTATAAATGGGTGAGTCACTGGTTTTTAATTCGTGCATGTGCACTAAAGTGCAGCCAAGGAAGCTTGCGAGCAGTGCTAGTAGGGAGGGAAATGGCAGGGGAAAGAAACAAACTTGAAACTTAACATACTCTGCTGCACCCCAGCTAAGTGTTCGACTCTCTCGGTCGAAGCGCGGCCTGAAAACAGCCTGTTCGTGGTCCCCTTGTTTGACCCATGGCCGATCGCCTTGTCGGTTGCACTCGACGTCGTTGATTCCTGTTGCCTTTTCGTGGAGACAACTATACAGCACCGTCGCCTGCAAAGCCTGTATGCGGTACCAGGAAAAGGGCAGGTCCGTGAGAGCCCAAACGATCAACTTCATGACGACTGTCATGACGGGGATGATAATGATGGTAAGAATTGACAATGTTGACACTTTGCTGCTCCAGATGACGAACGCGTCGACTCCGGGGTCGGGACTGCCGCCAGTCCCGATGACCTGGTTCGGGATGCCGTAATTGTTTGTGGAGAACAGGGTCGTATCGGTAAGCGTGTTCATGGTGGCGATATATGAGGCGAACACCAGCCGCTGCAGGTCGTCGTGGAAACTAGACGCGCCAGCGTCAAACTTTTCACCCAGCGAAGTGTCAGTGGACACCAGCGCTGAGGCCCCAAGGCGAGTGGCCAATGTCACGATCTTGGGCAACGACAGAAAGCGAGCCAAGACGTTTTGCAGTCCTGGTGAGAGATTCAGCCCAGGCAGAGACGTCGAATCGAGAGCCACAGCTGTGCTTTGATGCCCACGGTACGACCAGACGTCGTTCTGCCAGCACGAAAGTGCGGGTCTTCCGCCTTTGACTATGAATCCCACGTCGCTGCCGCCATCAGCAACAGTAAGATACCAAGGATCTGTGCCGGCTGTGATGCTCTGGCGCTGCACAGAGGAGACTAGTGCACCCCAGGTCCAATTGCCGGCGGGTCCTGTGGGTGAGGGAAGTCCCTGGAAAAAATACCCCAGTGGCCTGGCGCTATCGTAGAATGATACATTCTGGGTGCCTTCATTGGGATCGTTGAAAAGCAGGTATTCGTCATTGATGATGTTGGAATCATCTACCGACTCGGCCAGGAGCCAGGAATAGTCCGTCTGGCACGACCCTTGGACGCTCAGCACGAGGTCAGGATAATGTTGCAGGCCAAAGTCCACGCCAGTGATGGTATAGTTGTATCCAACGCGTATGACTGCCTCGCCGTCGCCCAGGTCTTGAAGCGTCTCGGGCGAATCGATGAACACATGCGTGCGGCCCGTGGAGTTGGCGACCAAGACACTTCCTGCAGCGCGAAACGCCGATGGCGCCTCGAGCGCGTTGATCTGCACACCGTTCTTCTCGTCCGGGGTGTTACTCAGTGATGGAACATAGACGGCGGAGGCGGCTACGGGTGCGGCATTGTCAATGATGATATACGGCGCGACCTTGATTGGAATGGCATAGATGGCGACCACAAAGCCGGCTGCCAGCACCGTCCACCAAAATAGATGAAAACGCCGTCGGTCTTTGATCTTGAGGAAATAGGAGCCGGTCAGCTTGCAGATGACGCTTGGTGAGTCCCTGGAATTCCAGATTCCCGTGGCTATCACCCCACTGTTATGGCTGTGTTTCTCCTTGCCCAGGAAGAGCACAACGCCTGCCAGAATCAGAATGACCCAGAAGTCGACGATGATCAACTGTAGCATGAAGGTGTATGCCGAGTTGAGTTCGTTGGCGACATTGGCAGGCACCGCGATGGCGTCTCTGGACCCGTGCTCAGTGGGCATGGAGAAGCGGCGCCACAGGTGATAGGTTTGGCGCCCCGGATCGAGACTGGAGAAAACCATGACTGTTGTGGCTTCGGGTGAGTTTTTTCTTTGGCTCCCTTTTGTTCTTGAAGAGTTGTGGCTGCTCCCGAAGCTGGAGGAGAGTCTCAGGAAGAGCGTGCAAGGCTGGCAGGGGAAGTTAGCATTCCCTGGTGTCTAGGTTTGCTCTCATGCTTGGACAGAAGAGGATGCGTTTTTCGCCGACGCGAGTCCTTTGGCTAAACTGGTGTCTAAATGCATCCGATCCGGGAGATGCGGCTGCAGTTGAGGGAGCTTCTGGTTGCCTTTCCCGCGGCCACATGCATGGCTTGACAGAAACCTTTACCCCAAAAGAGAGCGAACGATGCACCTTTTGGGGGCCAGATGGGGAGATGCATTCCCACTCGAGCCAGAGCTCTCTCGAGTCGGTGCATGATCGGCGACAAGAGCTCCGCTGCGACAACAAGTCGACTCTGATGGGTGGCCCCAATATCTGCTGGTATCTGCGAGAGCGTTCCAGCCGGGACCAAAGAAACAATGTTGACTGACGATCGAAATCAACGGTCACAAGTTCGAGAAGGACGCCACTCTGGTTGGGCAGAGGAGAGTCAATACGAATGATGGGTCGGGCTGCCAGCGTGTCGATGCAAGCCACCATCGTGGTGGGTGTTTCTGGTGTGATGGATGGAGAGAGACGAGGACAGCGACGCTTCCAGGCTCAAGACTGGACCCACAGCGTGGCATTATAGCCTGTCCTATTGGTGGATGTCGGGGTTGTGCAGTGGGTACCAAAGCCAATGAAAGCACAGAAAGCTGTATATGTGGACCCACCTTGTACTGTATTACCCCCTATTGGTCACTTCGAAACTGCAGAGAGGTGACAACCAAAGTCCGGCGAACTCGGGCACTTCCGCCCTCTGAGAAGCTTTCTCTGACGACGACCCCGGATTTCGGGGTTTTCGTCGACCTACCAGGCAGCGTCAGTGCCTACCCACAGTGCCCATGACCAAGCAGACAGACGAGCCTCACTAGCCCTTGGAGGTTGTCTCGAGTCGACAGTCCGACGCTTGTTCCTATTTACGTCAAACAACAGCCTAAAACTGCAAGCCTTTTGCCCAACTCGCGTCCACTGATACGAGACTGGCGAAAGGTGCGGGCCATCCCCATCCAAGCCGTGTGAAATTCCCCTGCACGAGACTGCTTTGAGTAACCCTTGGAGCCTCATCTCGACCCTGAACCTACAACTCTTACCGAGTTCGCCGCGTACCCTTGCTCTCACTCTTCAGGTATGGTACTGTACTTGCGCTATTGACGCATGTCCAGCAAGCACCCTGAGTACGGCGTACGCACGCCCACACACCACACTGCATTGCTTTACTCGACTATGGCACCATCTGCGCCGCCGCGCCGTTGCACCGTTGCAGCTCCTGCTGCCTCTGCAGAAGGGACATCGAGCGAACAGAAGAACAATTAAGAGGAGAGGGACCATTCCTGGATATGGCAGGCTGAAAACGTGCTTTCTCCGCCCAAGCCTCCATCGACGATCCCAGTTTCTACATAGTTCTTGTGGCCAGCCGGACTTTTTGGAAGCAAGCTTCGTCCACTCTGGAAAGGTCCGTCGAAAGACGGACATATAGGTAAGTCACACCCCGTCTCTCCTCTGGATGATGCAAGGTGAGGCTCTGCCGAATCTATGCTCGCTCGTTTGCAGCCAACTTTGGTGGGAAAGAGAAAAGAAAGAGAGAGAAGTGCCAAAGTAGGCTCGACATCCTGCACATTCGCTCACGCAGTCTGGCCTCCTCCTGTCTCCATTGCCTTCCAACTCTGTGAGCCGCAGCTCCCAGCCTGATCATGTCGTTTCAACTCATTATCGCCCTGTCTGGGCTGGGAATTTCTCCGGTCGCTGCCCAGCACTTCCCGGCGACTGTGCCTTCGTTTATCCGCCCGTCCTGGACCTGGACCTGGTCGCCCTCTCCCAGTTCCTATGCTGAGCCGTCATGGTCTGAGGAGACTCCCGCGTGGACACCGACTGTCTATACCTCGGACACTTGGTCATCCGTCGTCCCGTGGCCCTCGACATACACTCCCTCTGTCTCAGCACCTACTTGGCCAGAACACTCGAGCTCTTGGGGCCCGTCTAGCTACTCGTCTCACGTCTGGTCTTCGGAAAGCTTGCCGTGGTCCTCATGGCCGACAAGCATTTACTCACCACACTCTTGGCCGTCCGAGACTCCCACGTGGCAGTCGTGGCAAACCACCGTGTGGCCGTCGCCATCGCCAACGCCAAGTCTTCCATCATTGAACGATGCTCTTATCGCGGCAGGGGCCGCCAAGTTTGCCGCTCTAATTGCATCGGACCCTGTAGTCTCGGCTGCTTACGCCGCGGGAGTTCCTACCGTCTTTGCTCCGACCGATCAATTCATTGGCAGCACAGTGAACGCAACGCGGCGGAGGAAGCGCGACACGCTCACCCCAGCACAGCAGCAGCAATTGCTTCTCCACGCGACGCAGAGCCAGAGCGAGATCAACGGCCTCAGGACTCCACCTGGCGCGGTGGTTGCGACCAAGGACACCAACGCCAACCTCAAAGGAGCCACGCAAAAGGTCGTCTCGAAACCGAAAAACAGCACCAAGACGACATCCAGCAAGCGATCGGCCCCGACCCTCCTCGCCAGACAGGACACGGCGGACACGCTCGTGGATATCCTTTCAGGGCTGGGCAACTCGGTTGGGGTCATAACGGCCGACATTCCTTTCGCTGGTGGAGTGATTCATACTACTGACGGGTAAGTGGAGCGAGTTCATATCACTTGTTTGGATCCTCAGATCTTGAATCTCTGGGCTTCGGTTCTTTTCAATATGTGTGTACCTCGGTCGGGTCGTCCTCGAGATGGACAATCCACCATTACCGATATGCTAATATTTTGAACACTTACACAGCCTCTTCACCCTGCCCGCCACACTGTCCACCACGGCCCAGACCACTGGCCAATCGACCTTTGTTGCCCTGGCCAACTCGTCGAACCAGTCGGCGACCCTGGACGCCACGCCTCTCATCACCGTCTTCATCCCCACCAACCAGGCCTTTGCCGCCGCAAACATCGCCCCGTCCCTGTCACCCAGCAGCATCCAGTCCGTCCTGGCGGGCCACGTCGTGCAGGACTTTGCCGGCTACCTCCCCAGCCTGAGCAACGGGGCAAGTTTCGTGACGCAGTCCGGCACGACCGTCACGGTGACTGTCCAGGGCGACGATTACTTTGTGAACAACGCCAAGATCGTCGCGTCGAATCTGATTCTGGAGAACGGAGTGGCTCACGTCATTGATACGGTATGTCTCTCCAGCCCCTCCTTGGATGCGTGGCTCTTGCTCTCATACGGCCACACTTTATTTGAGTCTACGAGAGAGACTCATTGTGTGTGTGTGTCTGTGCATCTATGTGGCATTGTACTGTTTCCTTTACTAACCGTTCCCGCCCGACCGCCGGGCATTGAAATCTACATAGGTCCTCACCCCGCCCATCACACCATACACAGGCGGCGCCGCCATCCACGAAGCGGGTATCGCCAAGTCCCTCGTCCTCGCTATCAGCGTCATGGTCGCTCTGGTGTTGACCTCGTGATACCCTCCCCTCTCCTGTCGTGTCTCATAGACGATATTGACGATTGTGGGCGGGAAGGGAGATGATACTGTGGAGAAGCGAGGGTGCGAGGGTGTGTGAGAGAGAGAAGCAAGGAGAAGAGTTGTGGAATCACACAAAATACGAGTGTGAGATGCTGGATCTTACCTCTCTAAAATAGGTAAGCGTGTGACATGTGTGTCGAGCTTGAGCATCGGTGTTTCTGTTTGTCTGTCGTTGTGGTTGTTGCTGCTTGCGAAGGAAGCGAAAAGGAAGAGAAGGGAAATGAATACGAAGTTGAGTAATGATACATCTAGATACTCATGTAGATATCTAGATAGGAATCTAATACGGTCATTTGGGTAGTCAATCAGATAGGTGGCCAGTCAGTCAGTCAGTTGGTCGGTCAGTCAGTCACATGGGCGTGATGGGCTACTACATACCAGCTATCCTGGCTTTAATGATCTACTTAGCACGATAATCAAGACGAATGAAATTATGCAGGGGGGGATGGAAAGACGAATAAATTAAAATGAATATCGTGACCCTGGGGTATGGATGAGTGAGGAGCGAGCAAAATATCAGGCCGTCAACGAGCGTTGAATGATCTCTTCCATGATAACTTGTTCTTGTATATGGTTCGCATCGTGTTATGTTCGCCTCATGGGCGCGTACTGGGGCAGATCGACTGCATCTTTCGCCTCTACCATGTCATGTCACGTCACGTCAAAATGTCTCATCCTCGATGTTCATGGCCCTACAGACAACACTCGGACTGGTCGGCTCCCCATCGCCATCCATTTCGAACCCCTCGGTCTCAATGTCCTGTGTGAAATCGAGTTCTTCCTCCCCGTAATCTATCCCGGCATTGGTCAGGATGTCCTCGACTATCCGCTTCGATGCTTCTTTGGCTGGAGTCCTCAACAGGCGATTCTGGGGGACGTGGAACTGCATGGTCTTAGGGGGGGACTGGTCGAAGAGAATGTCGTCGTCGAGATCGTCATCGTCACTGTCCCAGACCCCCGGTGTCCGGGCGGGTGCCTTCAAGGGCTGGGATTTGGATCGTGCCCGTGACGGTGTCAGAACACTGACTCCGGGAATTGGTCTCCTGCGTTCGGGCGAGGAGAATATCTCCGGGTGGAGCTCGGGTGGAGGCGCCTCTGGGCTCGACGAGAGAGTCGAGTTGCCTAGTGTGGCGGCAGATCGAGCATGTCTCGCAGTCGAGGGGGTTCCACGAGTTGTCGAAGGCCAATTTGCATAATGCTCACTTGTGAGCGGTGTCGCTTGGACGCGGTAATTTCGGTCGAGGATGCGGTGCAGCAGAGGATCCGTCCGTTTGCGGGCAGTCGATGGGCGTGGGATCGAGGTCGGTCGTGGAGGGAGGAACGGCGAGGACTGGGGAGTTTCTACGGCAATCTTGTCCATGGCAAATACTGGTCGGCCGCCAGGGGTTTCGGGCATGGTCGGTTGGGTCAGGGACGTGTTGTCGACAACTGTACTGTGGACTTCTTGCCGCAGGACCTCATAAGGCGATGGGTAGTCTGCAAAGGTAGCATTGCTTTGCTGTTGAAACTTTTGCGTGATATTCGGTCGCGGTGTGCTGCTCTTGGAGGGCGAGATGGTCATGTTGGAGAGGTCCAAGTCCTGTATTGAGTCTGTGGAGATGTGCTGCGCCGAAGGAGTTTCGTACGACTGCGACGTCTCCAAGGTGCTCTGTGTGGTGGTGTGGGTGTCTTCGGTCACTGTGGTGTCTGTATGTTCCAGGTGAGACTGATGCTCTTCGTAGCCCGACAGGGACACATTGGCGCTCGATTCAAAAAATTGCTTCCAGAACTGCGCTTGGTCTCAGCATTGTCTCTTCCAAAATGTGTGAGTGTCTCACTCTTGACCCCTCCCAGACCTCCTTTGAATGTGTGGCATATTGTTCGACGATGGGCAGAATGCTCGACGTCACTATACGGTGTGCTCGACTGAAGTTGTGATCGATTTCTGCAACGTGTACGAGTCAATGGATTGTGCGCGAATGAAACATGTTTCTGGTCTAAGCCAACCTTGCAGTGTTAATGTGATGGACTGTTCGAGTTTCTCGAGCTCTTCGGTCAATGTCAAGGCTCTTGGCTGAGCAGCGGAATTTGCTCGAGACATTCTGGAATGCGTTGTCGTTGAGGTGTGTTGTGGGTTATGCAGTGTATAACTTCCATGGATCTCAATTTGGAGTCGCGTGTGGCCCGATATGCCGATATGGACGCGCCGAGGCTGGATCCAAGGCTCCCACGCTGCCAACCAAGTCCCACCGAGCCACCAAACAGCCATGCGGGGCACGTACAGTTGCAGCTGGTGGCAGTAATATTGATGCCTCGTCGTCCCTCTCTTCCTCTTCCCCTCTCCAAAAATGGCGTGGGTGGCGCAGCCCAGTTCCCTCTTCCTCCCTCCTTCCGAACCGCTGCCGCCTCACCTGTGTGCCTCGTATGATCCTTGACGCTGGTACAATCAGGCTGACCCGGTTTCAAGATATCCCTGGACACCCCGGAGGTTGTCTTCAACCACGGCGTCCTTCCGCCTGCACCCTTCCTCTCTCTCTTCCACTCTGAGAACTCTCTACTCAGAGAAACACCCTCAGGTTTATTTTCAAAATGCCAGCTCCGCTAGCCAAGGGTGAGTGTCCCCGTGCCTCCTTGCATACCGCCATCCTCCCCTTACATCATCTGCCAACGACAAATACGCTCATGTTTGAGGGTTGTCCAAGGATTCCTCATGCTCATTTCTCTTGTGGCTCGCGGGCAACACTAACCCACCATGCCTCCGATAGGAATCATCATCACTGTCTCTGTTCTGGTGGCAGCCAGCATAGCGGCATATGAGAACCCTCAAGTGCGAGCATGGATAGAGCGGACAAGACACAGGATAGCCATGGGCCTGCACTCCCTCGGCGACGAGATTGGCCCGAGACCCCGTCCTCGACGCACTTCGACAGACGTCTCGATGCATGAAGAGAAGGGCGAACTGGCCGAAGAGCGTCGACGTCAAGCAATCGCTGACATCATGGAGCGAGGACGGATCATGGAAGAGAGGAGGAAGAGAAGAAGGCTCACGGATCAAGAGAAGGAAATACCGTCTAGCCCGACTTTTGATACTCTGGTGGACCAGAATGGTATTCTACTGCAACCGGCACAAGATGAACAAACAGCCCCAGCAACACACTTCTCTGGCGCCGAACCCTCAGCGCAGTCCGCCACTCTGCGGCAGAGACTCGTCCCTTTGCAACCAGATCAGTCACCGCCCACTCTGCATCTGTCGACCGCCGCCCCCGTTTCTGCGAGGGCGCTCGATGAAACTCCTCCAAATCCATTCGAGTCAAGATACGAGCGGGAGATGCGCGAAGCATGGAATCTACCTTTGATTGAACGACCAGTTGAAATCCTGTCCAGCCATGCTTCAGAAAGCCTGCTTGAGCTTACACCCACGACGGAAAGTGCTCCTGATCCGGACTTCTCTATTCCGTCTGCCGATTACCTTCGCCGCCCACAAGATCGATCAGAGTATTTCTCTGTGGCGGATTCAGTCTCGTCGCATACGCTTTCCGAACATGAGTCGCAAGCATCCCTCCCTGTCCAGAGCACATATTTAGATGCATCTCGAACTTTTGTCATTGGTGCAGCCCCTCTGAATGCAACACCCCCAGCCTCGGCGACGCCCAGCATGGCTGATAGTGCAGGTCATATCAACGCCAGTGAGGCAGAAGACAGTTCTGACGACATCCTCAGTGACTTTGCAGATGGGATACGTACTCCCTCAAGCGCTTGGACCGACGTTGACAGCACCGTTAGCGGGGATTTCCACTTGTAAATACACGCACGTTGCGGCCGTAGAAGGCACTGGGCCGGAAGGTGTGGCTTTGGAGTCTGGTTATTGGTTCTTTTATGAGCATATCGCTTTGTTGGATACTGGTGAAACGTTGCTCAAGAGATGGATGATATATGGTAACCACGAACCTGTCTCTCTGTTCTAACTGCGCTCCTAGTACGTTCCATCTTTGAGCATCGTTTTGCTTCGCCTCATTGTGACGACGTCTCCTTCGCTTTTGTGGGCCACAAACTGCAAGCTGCCATCGTGCAGATTCGACTGCTTCTCCTACGCTTTGCTTGGGCATCCGTCCTTCACCAGCATGATCGACCTGGAAATCACCACCATGCCAGCCGGATTTGCGGAAGCTGGCACTGTGAACGCAACTGCCTCTTCTTCTTTCCCCTTCTCCGGCCTTTGCTTCCTCATTATCATTTTCTTTACTGGCTTGCCCTCTCATTGCTCGACTTCATCCAGCGCACCCCGACTCATAGTACTTTTCTGGCGACGGCCTCCATGCCACCGTTTCAGTATCTTCATGAATTGAATATCATTCACTGATCCAAAGGTCCATCACTTTTCTCTCCGTGCGAGAACCCAGAAACTCCCTTTTGATGCTCCCCGGTTGCTTTCACGGCTGTCACTTTACACGCCGAAATCCAAGAGTCTATCGCTCATTCCCTTTGGTTCTCTCGTCCATCACTTGAGACCTTGAAACTTTCGACAACTCTGATATCCCGACGTCGTGATCACTACTAGCACACTACTTTGATCAAGTGTCCCTTGCTGAAGCATATTAACCGCCACTCCTCTCAACAGAAAAGCAATCTCTGGATCAAGGCTCCTTTCAGTGTCAGCTGGCTTTGGACGGTGTGTCACCGACGCAAGGAATATGGCCGAGCATGAATCTCTCAGTGGGCCCTGGACGGTACCCGAAGTGAGAACGTTCGTGCCACACAGCGATGACTTCTTGCTGATGGTATAGATTATTTCCCTTGCCTTCATTGGTCCCATCATTCTCGCAGCCTTTCTCGAATCGTTTCTGTGGGTAGCAGCGTTTTGTTACTGCCTTGCAAAGGCATACATGAAGGCAGATCACTGGTCGCAAAAGGTGTTGGCTGTGCTCCTGATGGTGGCGTTCACCCTCCTCCGGCAAGTCAGTTGCTGTTTTCCTCGAGAGCATATAATGCTAATGATTGCATACAGGGGGATATTCTTGCCGGTGATGATTGCGACGCTGCCTCTACCACAGCATCTCACACAATATTTCCCTACTCTGATGACTTCCATCCTCCAGGAGTTTGCATTCTACTCCTTTGCAGCCATGCTGGTGATCCCCTGGCTCTTTTGCGTCTATCAACTAGTTGTTGTCCCTCTTGGACGGCAAAAGCGGGTCAAATATACTCTCAATGAGCAGACCGCCCCAAAGGTGGTCGTGGTCATGCCGGTCTACAAGGAGCCACCGGACTCCCTGTGGACAGCACTGAATTCGGTAGTCAGCTGCGACTACCCTGCTGCGTGCATCCACGTGTTTGTCTCTTTCGACGGAGACGACATTGACGAGCTTTACCTGAAGACGGTCGATCGACTAGGCGTACCAGTTACATTGAAGGACTTTCCCAAATCCATTGATGTAGCGTATAATGGGGCCCGAGTCACTGTGTCGAGGTTTCCCCACGGGGGCAAGCGACATTGTCAGAAGGCGACCTTTCTCCTCATCGACAAGATCTACAAACGATACCTCCAGGAGAAGGACGACCTCTTCATCCTGTTCATCGACTCGGACTGCATCCTGGATCCTGTGTGCATACAGAACTTTATGTACGACATGGAACTCAGACCCGGTAGTAAACACAATATGCTGGCGATGACTGGTATTATCACGTCTTCCACAAAGAAGCATTCGTTCATCACCTTGTTGCAGGACATGGAGTATGTTCACGGGCAGCTGTTCGAAAGATCTGTTGAATCAGGTTGTGGAGCCGTTACATGTCTGCCGGGAGCCTTGACTCTGCTTCGATTTTCGGCCTTTCGAAACATGGCACGGTTCTATTTCTCGGACAAGGCGGAAGAATGCGAGGATCTCTTTGACTACGCCAAAACACATCTCGGCGAAGACCGGTGGCTAACACATTTGTTCATGCTCGGTGCCAAACAGCGGTATCAGATCCAATTGAGTACCAGCGCCTTTTGCAAAACCGAGGCGGTCCAGACATTTCGATCTCTACTCAAGCAGAGGCGTCGGTGGTTTCTAGGGTTTATCACCAATGAAGTTTGCATGTTGACAGACGGCCGTCTGTGGAGGAAGTATCCCATGCTCTGCTTTCTTCGCTTTGCCACTGTTAGCATTCGAACGACGGCCCTCCTTCTGTTGATCACCATTATCGCGATATCAAGCACTTCCACACGGGTGGACTCGTTGCCCTGGGAGTTCATGTGCATCTCGTGCGGCTTGAACTGGTTGCTTATGTTTTACTTTGCCATCAGGCTGCACCGCTGGAAAGCTGCTCTGTATCCGATGATGTTTATGCTCAACCCGTTCTTGAACTGGGTTTATATGGTGTATGGTGTCTTCACGGCAGGACAAAGAACTTGGGGCGGGCCGAGAGCAGATGCAGGAGCAGCAGACGCAAAGGTAACACCCCAACAGGCAATCGAACATGCCATCGCCACCGGAGACGATTTGAATATTGTTCCAGAGACCTTTAAGCCCGCGATTGAATTCCGTCGACGCCGCACCCGACCTTCAGCACTCCAGCCATCGTCCAGCGTCGAGGGCCGCTTCTTTTCTGCAGAGCAAGAGCCTGGACAGATGCCGGACAACGAAATGGCCTCACCGACACCATCGCATGTCAATTTCAACACACAGCAACATCGCTACGAGCATGAATCTCTTGACATGAGCGATTCGGATAGTTTGTCGGTACACACGCCTAAATGGATCAATAGCTTCAGCGAAGACAATGAGAAAAGGCATCGGCCAAGTCGAGCAGTTGACATGGAGTCAAGACCGAGGAGCATGGTCGCAGACACTCGGCGATTCCTGGGTGAAGGTCACTTGGCAACACGTAATATGGCGGGAGTTATTCCAGCCTTGCAAGGCTCAAGAGACATGTTCACGTTTGCAGAACATGGCGACAGTCGGCAAGAAACGGCGAGAAACCACGAGAGTGACAACCGAAGTCCTCTGGGGCGAAACAGTCCCATGATGGCTGCCTCTGTTGAGGAAGATTTCTCTGGTATGGACGGAAAAGAGGCCATAGGGAAGGCCAAGCGACAGTCTTTGAAAAAGCAGCGGTTGCGGAAGAGAAGTCCAAGTCCAGGGAGAATGGTGTAATCCACGGCAATGGCGGCCTTCTGGGGAGAGGAAACAAGACAAGATGTTTCACATCATTATCTCTTAATCCAGGACGGAGGACGTTTGTACTCCGTATATGTATAACAAGTAGGTAAACATTAGCAAATGTATTATTGTTCATGCGCCCCACACACTACCACAAGCATCCTTGATGTTTTCCACCTCACGCCACCATGTCGGGATCGAGGGGATACGCTGACTGACGCCTCATTTTCTCGATCTGGGAGTTGGGTTTATCTCGGAGATGAAGTCATGGTAAAGCGCAATTGCTGCCCAGCGGATGTCGTGTCTGAGGATGATTTGAAGGAAGCCGGGGTTGGGTTGGGAGACAATGGATAAGGCGTTACCCGTTGAGCCAGCCTCACCAGGCCCCGGCCAAGGATTGCTGGACGATGTTTGCTGGAGGCTACTGGTCGCTGCGGTGGGCGCAGTTTGTGTGCAAAATGGCAAATGGCGGGCCAGATGCCAGATGCCAGATTGCCAGATGCGGTGCTTGTGGGCTGCGGCACCAGCGGCGGGTGGGAGAGTGACGTCCGCGGGCTTGGCTGCAAGGGAAAAAGACAACCATCGAAGCTGCGCGAAGCTACTGGTGCTCCTGGCTCACTGGCTCGTCGTTGGCTGGAGGGCGGGAGGCGGTTGGCGGCTGGACAAGGCAGGCTGCTGTTTGGCCCTTTGCGAAAAATGGTCCCTTTGGGCGGGTGAAATTTTTGGTCTGATTTGTATCTGTCCTCTAGGTCAATTGCTGTCGCCGTCTTTCTGTTGAAAGAAGACAGTGGCTTTATCACCATCCCTCTTCTTTGCTTAATTCTACCCTGTTTCGTCTCCCACGATTTCACTTCCTCTCAAAATCCCTCCCATCACATCACCGCAACCAACACAGATACCTCGAGAAACCTTTCCCCCCCTCTACTTTGAACTGAGGCGCCATTGACAATGAGCGTCGTCGGCGTTGACTTTGGGGCCCAGAGCACCAAGATTGGTGTCGCGCGCAACAAAGGTATCGACATTGTAAGTTCTTGTCCTTTGCCCTGTTCTCGAGAAGACCAGTCTCAAATTGTAAACACAAATAACTAACCCACCTGCTCACCAGATCACAAATGAGACGTCGAACCGATCTACACCGTAAGTACCCTGGACCTAGCCTTACCGTGAAGGCGACTGCAGAGACTGACTTCCGCCCTTTTAGATCCTTGGTTGGCTTTGGTCCGAAGAGTCGATACCTGGGCGAAGCCGCAAAGACCCAGGAAATCTCGAATCTCAAAAACACCATCTCGTCGCTGAAACGCCTCGCCGGCCGGACCATAAATGACCCTGAGATCGCCATCGAGCAGCAGTACATTACTGCACCTTTGGTGGATGTCAATGGCCAGGTGGGAGCCGAAGTCACATACCGCGGGGAGAAGCAAAAATTCACGGCTGTCCAATTGATTGCCATGTATCTGGGGAAGATCAGAGACACGGCCAGCAAGGAACTAAAACTTCCCGTCTCGGACGTGGTCATCAGCTGCCCGCCATGGTTCACCGATACCCAGCGAAGAGCCATGCTCGATGCCGCCGAGATTGCCAACCTCAAACTCCTCCGCCTCATCAACGACAATACGGCCATCGCCCTGGGTTACGGTATCACAAAATCCGACCTTCCTGACGGTGAGGCTAAGCCACGTCGAGTGTGCTTTGTGGACATTGGCTACAGCGACTACACCTGCTCCATTGTCGAATTCCGCAAGGGTGAGCTGGCTGTCAAGGCCACCACCTTTGACCGGCATTTCGGTGGACGCAACATCGACAAAGCCCTCGTAGACCATTTTGCGGCGGAATTCAAAGAGAAGTTCAAGCTCGACATCACCAGCAATCCAAAGGCCATCACCCGTGTCGCCGCGGCTGCCGAGAAGCTGAAGAAGATCCTTTCCGCCAATGCCCAGGCCCCTCTCAGCATCGAGTCTCTGATGGATGACAAGGATGTCCGAGCCATGTTGAAGCGTGACGAATTGGAGGAATTGATTAAGCCACTTCTCGATCGAGTTACTGCCCCGCTTGAACAGGCCCTGGCCGAAGCCAAGGTAAAGATCGAAGATATCGATGCCATTGAGATGGTGGGTGGGTGCACTCGCGTTCCGTCCATCAAGGACCGAATCAGCAAATTCTTTGGCAAGCCTCTCTCGTTCACTCTCAATCAGGACGAAGCTATCGCTCGGGGCTGTGCATTCAGTTGCGCCATCCTCTCACCTGTCTTCCGTGTCCGAGACTTCTCGGTCCACGACATCGTCACCTACCCCATCGAGTTCACCTGGGAGCAATCACCGGATATTCCGGATGAAGATACGAGCTTGACCGTCTTTAACAAGGGCAACGTCATGCCCTCGACCAAGATCCTAACCTTCTACCGCAAACAGCCCTTCGATCTGGAAGCTCGGTACGCCAAGCCGGAATTGCTTCCCGGAAAGATCAACCCCTGGATCGGGCGCTTCTCCGTCAAAGGAGTCAAGGCTGACGAAAAGGACGATTTCATGGTGTGCAAACTCAAGGCGCGGCTGAACCTGCACGGCATCCTCAACCTCGAAAGCGGTTACTACGTGGAGGATGTCGAAGTGGAGGAACCTGAGCCGGAAGCAAAGAAAGACGGCGACGCCATGGAGACAGATCAACCCAACGGCTCTGCCGAACAGGCCAAGCCCAAGATGCGTAAGGTCAAGAAGCAAGTGCGCAAAGGCGAGCTGCAGCTGGTCGCAGGAACTGCGTCGCTGGATGAGGCAGCCAAGACTCGACTTGGTGAATTGGAAAATGCCATGTACATGGAAGACAAGCTCGTGACAGATACTGAAGACAAGAAGAACGAGCTGGAGGCATTCATCTATGAGCTCCGGGGCAAGATCGAAGAACAATACGCCGACTTTGCCAGCCAAGAAGAGAAGGACAAGATCCGAGAGAAGCTGGAGCAGACAGAGGTAAGCATTTCCCCCCTCCCGTCCGGTGCGCTTCGTTGTGAAGCCGAACTTGTTGCTAACTTCTGCCAGGATTGGCTGTACGATGAAGGGGATGATGCCACCAAGGCACAGTACGTGGCCAAGATGGACGACATCCGATTCGTTGCAGGTCCCGTGATCCAACGCTACCAAGACAAGATCGAAGAGGAGCGACAAGCAATTCTCAAAGCGCAAGAGGAGGAGGCGGCTAAAAAGAGAGCAGAGGCTGAAGCCAAGAAGAAGGCGGAAGAGGAGGCCAAGAAAGGGGCGGATGCACCATCAGACGAGCCCAAAGATACCGAGATGAAAGATGCAGACGGCGAGGCCATCAAGCCCGACAGCGTTGAGGAGAAATAGAATGTCGGACCGATTCTGGGCGGAATACAGCATCTTGTCTTCGCACGCGACTTGGGACGCGGGTTAATCATAGATGGGATGGCCCATCCACGTCTACGGGCATGGACCCTGGGCCACCGGCTTTTATGAGGGATGGATGGACGTACGTGGAACGTGTCATGCATAGCGAATGGGAAAACGATCTTCTTTTCAGGCGTTGGGGATGGAAAGAAAGCCTCAGGGCGAGTCAATACCAATACTAGACAGCGTGATCAACTGGGGATGTGTCTCGTTTTGCCAGAAGTTGTCCTTTTTTCTTTCCCATGAAGAACATCTGCAAACTAGAATGAAACACGAAATGATAGATTGACCAATGAGAAACCATACCGAAGACATGAAATGGAAGTTTTTACACACAGAGAGAGAGGGGGATATTGCCGAGCAGTAGCCAGAGAAGACTGAAGGAAGTAATTTAACCAAGGTACATATGGTATCTACGGAGGGGTTGACTTCGGCAGCACCGGTGGCCGCCCTTGTCCCGGCTTCTTACTTTTTTCTTACGCACGAAGGTCTACAGTACAAACGTCTTGACAGGACGGTGTATGAGTGGTGGTGGTAGATGTTTGAGATTTGTGATCAGACCGGGGTCCCGATTCCACCGGATCTTGAGAGGTCGGAGTGGTGTGGATAAAGCGGCAGGCAACGATGGGTTACCAGGACGAGCAACTGCAAGTACTCGGCAGGTACCTACGGAATACGAGGTGAGTGGTAAGGTCCTTCGTACTCGTAGTTACAGGACAGACAGCCCCCTAGGCGATGTTAGGCATGTATAATGCCCACTAGGCCTTCCCGACACCCCCGGGGCGGGGCGTAACAACAGACAAAGAGTCTGGGAGGGCCCAAGTAGTAAATAATCGAACATAATGCCGAGGTTCAAGTTGTCAAGTGGCGGCGATAATCTGGGGCAAACATCGTCCACCGGCGATAAATGTCAAGAGTAGGAGGAGGAGGACAAGTTGAAAGTTGGGGATCATAATCATCAAATCAGTCAAGTCACCGTTTTTTGTCATCTTCTTTCCCTTTTCTTCTTCCTCTCCCTCTCCATATCCTTCCTTACTTGCTCTTCCATATCTGAAACTGCTCCTGTAGCTGTATATCCAGAGCAAGAAAATCACAATGGCGACACAGAGACTCGGTTCCATCTTCTCGCACCTCTCCTCCTCAAAGACCGGTGTGGCTGCTATGTAAGTCCAGTCCAGTCCAACCCAACTCAGCTCTGGAGCTACCTGTGTAGCTTCTCTGATTGTGCAGTCGCTGACAGTGGCGCTTTTGTCAACATGCAGCACCCAGAAGAACCCCGATGACATTGTCATCACCCTCGCCATCCGGACACCCCTCGCAAAGGGCAAGAAGGGCGGCTTCAAGGACACCGACCTCGACTACATTGTCTGGGCGCTGCTGAAGGAAGTCGTTGCGAAGAGCAAAATCGACCCTGCCATTGTCGAGGATATCTGCTTGGGAAATGTAAGAGATGACAACCCAGGAAAAATCCGGGAAATGGGTGAACAGAAGAAGAGTAGAAGGCTGACACCGTTTTCGTGATGCACAGGTCGGCGACCCGCGCGCTGCATACAAGGTCCGTGCTGCCATGTTGGCCGCAGGATTCCCCCATACCGCCGCCGCCTCGAGCGTCAACCGGTTCTGCTCCTCGGGCCTCAAGGCTGTGCAGGACATCGCCAACCAGATCTCCAATGGGTCGATCGACATCGGCATCGCCATGGGCGGTGAGTCCATGAGCAACGCCGCTGGCAAGGACACCCCCTTCTCCCCCGAGATCATGGCGAACCAGGAAGCCGCCGACTGCACACAGCCCATGATCCAGACGTCGGAAAACGTCGGCAACGACTTCAACATCTCGCGCAGAATGCAGGACGAGTACGCCTGCGAGAGTTTCCGGAGGGCCGAGGTCGCCCAGAAGGCCGGCTGGTTCGAGGATGAGATCGTGCCCATCACGACAAAGGTCAAGGATCCCAAGACGGGAGAGGTCCATGAGATCACCTTGACCAAGGACGAAGGTCCCAGATACGGCACCACGCTCGACAGTCTGTTGAAGATTCGTCCCGCCATGCCGCAATTCGGCGACAAGACCTCCGGTGGAAATGCCAGTCAGGTCACGGATGGAGGTAAGCATTTCCCACGTTTGATATCCCTACGATAGGACGGGTGAATTAGAGACTGACGTGATCTGGGACAAAACCAGCTGCCGCCATCCTCCTCATGAAACGCTCCAAAGCTCTCGAACTCGGTCAACCCATTATGGCCAAATTCTGCGGCGCCACCGTCGCTGGCGTTCCCCCACGGATCATGGGTATCGGACCCACGGCCGCTATCCCCAAACTGCTCAGCAAATTCCACCTGACAAAGGACGACATTGACATCTTCGAGATCAACGAGGCATTTGCCTCGATGGCCGTCTACTGTCTCAACACACTCGGCCTCGAGCACGAGAAGATGAATCCCCGTGGTGGCGCCATTGCCCTGGGTCACCCCTTGGGCGCCACGGGAGCGCGACAGATCTGCACGATATTGAGCGAGGCCAGACGGACCAAGAAGAAGATCCTCGTCACCAGCATGTGTATCGGCACGGGACAGGGTATGGCAGGTCTGTTTGTGAATGAGCAGTTGTAGGGGGCGGGCAATGTACTCGGTAGTTTTTGGGCTTGTTGAAGGGTTTGTCAGCCGTAAAAATGCATGAAATGAATGACAGCTAGGTGACCAAATCAATTTGGCTGCATATGTCAAGGCCCTTTTAGGAGCTTCCTGTATCCATTATTGAGAGCATGTATAGGATGCATCTATACAAATGGACATCAGTCCGGTCGGCCTCTCACAGGACGAGGCTGAATCTGCCCGACCTACGTCCGAGTAAAACAGCACATAACATTTGAGGGCACCCAGAGGGAAGAGGTTCGGCAATGTTTCCACCTGGAGTCGCGGCTATTGCCCTGCTGGAAGCACCCAAGGTAGCCCCCCCAGAGGTCGATGGCTTAATAACAAAAAGCCCCGAATGGGTCTGGACTCTCTTAAGGCTCATGGCTAGTAACCAACAATCCTGCGCCAAGCAAACACTCCCTCGCAGATCACTTCGCCGACTAACCGCCAAAAGTGTCTCTGTACCGAGTACCAACCTCTGATCCATCGAATCCCAGACTCAGCGGCCTTCATAAACGACAACAGGGACTTGTCGGTCCAGATGCATGTCCAGGAGATGACGAAAGAGGTGGCGATGACCCAAACGAGCAGCACGAGCAGCACGATCCTCCAGCCTCGGTCACCGACGGCGGCATACTTTTGCAATATGAGGTCGCTGCAGAAGGACATGTGGCACAATGGAACTCGCAAATCTCTCGAATTACCAAGGACGAGCTGGAACTTGACCTTCAAAACCTGAGGAAGTGCTAGCCAACATGGAACAACAGGGAGCTAATATACCACCGTCTAAAATTTACGGCGACAAATACACCGACCAGGTGGTGCTTGTGACCGGATCAGCGCATGGGATAGGACACGCTACTGCGGCCCTCTTTGCCAACCAGGGAGCGAATGTGGTGCTTGGCGACCTGGATGAGCAACAGCTCAAAAAGGTCGAGACAGACTTCATCTCTGAAGGCAAGAATGTGACCTATCGGGTCGCCAATCTGGCGTTGGAAGAACAAGTCAGCTCCATGATCGGCGAAGTGGTCTCCTCACTGGGCGGAATCCATGTCCTCGTGCACATCGCTGGCATCTACCCGTTTTGCCCCCTCCTGGAGCAATCGACGCAAGAGTACAAAAAGGTCATGATGGTCAACATGGACAGCTGCTTCTATCTGACACGCGCGGTGCTTCCACACATGCAGAAAGCAGGCTATGGGCGGATCGTCAACATAGCCTCTGGCACCGTTTCGCACCCGGAACCTGGCCTGGCGGCCTACGCGGCATCCAAGAGTGCCCTTGTTGCCTTTACACGGGCCACCGCTGCCGAGGCCGGTCCGGGGGTGACGGCCAATGTCGTGTCTCCAGGCCTCGTCATGACAGAGACCACCTGGAGCTCTCCTCACGCGAAACCCATATTTGACAAGGCCATGGAAAAGCAATGCGTGAAGCGGTACGGTCAGCCGAAAGATATCGCCCACATGATCAGCTTCATCGCGAGTCCAGAGGCCGAATTCGTCACGGGCCAGCTCTTCCATGTCAGTGGAGGCATGATTTTCAATTGACGAGAACGAAAAAGGGGACGCGGAAGTTGCGGGGGCCCGACTCTCGGCCTGAGTGAGCTCCGAAGTTTGTGGTGCCTGTTTGGATTTCTCAGCGCGTCCAAACTATGCGAAGACCGGTTATTCTAGCAGAGGCGGCACAAACTGCAGGCTCTCCAGTCAGAGGCATGTCACTGACCAGAGATCGGCGAGCCCTGCAGACAACCGGAGTTTGGATTCTTTCCCATCATCTGACCCAGCAGATTGCGGTTCTCGGGCAACAAGATGCTGAACCCTTGGACAAGGCGTCTGTTGGTGCAAAGTACCCGTTTCCCCTGCTTTGGAATTGCACAGCCCCGAGTCGATCACTTTCAGCGCCACAATACTTGCTCTATATGTTGTCGTAATCGAGGTTGAGATTTGCCTCGTCAGTGGTCTGGAGCCTGAACTGCTGCGCAGCATGAGAGCTGGATCCATGAGGCAGAAAGTGGGACTGCGAGGTCGAATATGTATTCCACCGACGAGCAGGTGGTGACAAACATGATCAGCAGCCATGGAGCTCTCGGCACTTGGTGTGGTGGTCAGTGGCATTGTGTTGCTTCTATCCAGCGAGAGATAGCCATAGCCAAGCTAGACCAGCAGGGGTATTTGACTTGCCCCTATCAATCAACTGTTTCCCACGAATTGTTCTTCTGTGTCCCCCTTCTTTCCACGCATGCAAGGAGAGTTCTAGGCGCCTTGGACTGGCGTAAACCCAAATCGTACGCAATCCGTAAATATATAGTACATACTCTCCTCCCTTGATTGGTGTCTGTATCCCGTATGACATTGTCTTTGTTTTCCAAGGTCGTTTTTGAAAGCATCCACAGAGCGAGGCTGGTGGACGGGAGGGGTTCAACGGTCGAGGTCCGCACGTGATCGCATCCTCCAGCAGTTGATGTGCAGCCACGCCCCATCACCACCACCAGGGGGGGCTCATTCATCACCATCCATCACCATCCATCACCCATCACCCACCACCACCACCACCACCACTCATGTATTAGATCGCCCTTCCTCCCTATGGGCATTGCTGACAATCCGCTTTCAAGAAATGCACAACTGCTTGTGAATCGCGATGACCTCCATATCCACACCACACGGGACCTGAGCCCTCTCTCTTCCTTCGACCGTTTATTCACTCCACCACTCCATCTGGCTGGCGAGCCGAGCTAGTTAATAGTTGACTGGCGTCTTCCCCACAAACCCATCTCAAGCCTCTCATCAGATCCGGATTATCTACCAGAAACGGTCCTCGAACACCTGCGGAGGAAACCCAGTGTCGCTTTCCTTGGAGACTTTGCACTTGAACATCGTCCTTGAAGACAGTTGAATCTTGACTCGAGCAAGCGCCGCTCGCATCGACAAAACCCTGCTCGAAAACTGGTCGATGCGATGCGACAAGACTCACCAAAAAAAGGGTCCCGTATGGTCAATGAGTACCTACAGAGTACATTTTGTCCGATTTCGTCATCTGTACTGCCACCATCTCGTGAAAGCGGAGATATAAATTCTGAGACGCCCTTCGTTTTGTGGAGTGCAGCCTCGCTGCGATGAGGTCTACAGCATAGACAAGCTCAACATTCAACATTTGATAGGACAGGAGCATTTTCATCTTCGACAAGGAGTGCTCAGGCCTCTTCCTTGCCTCGCTTGGAGATTACTGAAAGAAGAAGATGAAGATGCCTTCCTCCATAATAGCGGACTCTGGACAAGTGCCGCGTCTTGTTCCGACCATTGGTATCTATCAGCCTTCCTCGGGAATAGACCCAAACAGACTTAGGTTGGCTTCTTGCGCTCCCTGTCCGAATATCCTGGCCGACATGCTGTGATCCCTGTCAACTTGTGTGTACCTTCAACAGTGAGTCGAATTGACCCCGGTCTGCCTGGCTAAAGCTTCCACGGCTTCCACTCAATGCAACTGAAGTACAAGTCTGTCTGGAAACCGGGTTTCGGACCATTGCCGGCAATCCATGGTCAGTCATGTCAACAACTAGCCACCTATTTCGTTGCTTTGTGGCACACGGGTTGTTCTGGAGCAAACCTATTAAGCCCTTTGTCGGGATCACCACGTCCTTGTTTGACCTCAAGTCGGATGTGTCACAGCATCAATATCCTGGTATCACGGCAGATCATTGAATTGCCATGTTGACTAGCAAGCTGCATGTCTTCCGACCCCCCAGCAATCCGATTTGGTCTTGACGACGTCAGTCCGAGTTTCAATCCACTAAGAACCCAGGGATACACATATATCCGACTGCCGTTTGGCAATTCGCAATGCTCCCAAACGCCGACGCTCGACTTTATTTCACCCAAAAGTGGGCTTGAAGCAACTTGATCATGTTACAATGAATCCTCGTCACACCATGTGCCCTCCTCTCCTTACCTGCGTTCTAAAGATCGGTCCGAGTGCGTTGTCTCCATCCTCACTTTTGCTTTCTCTTGGATAAGGATATTCATGACCTTGCTCAACGTGGTCTCCTCGATATCCTCGAGCACAATGGTAGTCTTCCTCGAAGATGTTTGTTGAGGTATATAATGTCGATCGCTACCACTCATGGACGAAATATCAAAAGATTCGGGGAATGGAAAGCCATGGATGTGTTGGTTCGACGCCGGACCTCCTGAAAGCCACTCATTTGGGAGACTTGAAGCATGCACCGGGTACGTGGCATCGAGCATGGACGTTGGCATGTATTCAGGTCGAGGTGTCAACATAGGCTCGCTCATCGACATATTCAAGGGTGAAAAGTTGCTTGAGTCCAGAAGCGAATGGTCGATGCTTTGGCGATGTTGAAACCCGAAGTTCTGATTCGGAGTGTGCGGCATGTACTGAAATAACTCGCTTGAGTCGGTATGGCTAGCCGGAGTGGTCAGACCCGATAACGGATCCATGGCCATATTGAAATTGTCAGCCTGGCCTTGAGATTTCTTGCTGTGGTTCGAGGACCGCGATGGCGGCCTCGTCGATCCCATCGAAGAACAGATCTCTTCCTCACTCGAAGGAAGTTCGTCCGATAATTGCATCAATTCGTCTCTCCCTGATCGATGGACCTGGGAGGAAAAACTTGGGTGCGGCTGAGGACTCTGGCTATTGCTTGCTATCTGTTGAGTGTGCTGCTTTCGTCTGAGAGCCGTGTACCTGCAGGAGTGAATTAGTCGCAGGCACAAGTGAAGAGCCAATTGAAGGGGCAGTCTTGGTCACACCGATTCTTGAGTGCCAACTTGGTACGGCCAGGGAACAACTCTGCAATCTTCCTCCAGTTTCGACCAGAAGCAGCGACCTCTGCTAGCAGCCTATTATCTTCCTCTTCTCTCCAGTCACTGTGGTCGATGGAAGGATCAAGGCATTGGGTCCAGCGCTTGGCACATTCTGTGAGGTTTTAGTCGTCAATGTTCGTGCTTCAACATTGGAGCCGACTTTAGAGATGGAAGGCGACCTACGATCAGCATGTCGAGTACCAACCATTTCTGCGACTTGAGTCCATCTGTCGACACCTTTTAGCGGAGAGATATTTGTGGGTGGACATCGAGTCTTGCGAACCTTGTTCCGATTGCAGCAACAGCGTCTCTGAGTTTCGCATCTTCAGCTGCTGCCCTAAACGACAGTGTTAGTACAGTACGGGTGCTGGCGTCGAATCTTGCGATACACACCAGTTACCCTTCCTCACATTCTCCGATATCTTGCTCCATCTCTTGCGGCAGTCCTTGTTCATCCGACCTGGAAGTTTGGTTGCAATTCTGTTCCAATCTCTAACTGAGCCAGCAGCGATTACTGGTCTTCTATCAGCTTCCAGGGTCTCGTGGCCAATCAGATGCGAACGTCCCAACTTACATTGGTAGGTTGCCTCTGTCCGCAGGACCGCATCTTCCTCTGGTGTCCATCGTCTTGGGACTCGCGAGGGAGGTGGTTCCATTCTCAGCCTGTGTGTTGGGCTTGAAATATCCAGCCTCGCACATGTCCTTGGGAGGTAACATGTGCTGAGAATGAAGACCGGGCCTGCTCGAGGATGCCCAATCTTGGCTGAGTGCATGCAAAAGTGAAATTCGATCAGTTATTTGGGGTGCCTGCGGCAGACTTCACTATCAGAGCGATATGGAGTAAAGGATTCGCGAAGGATGCAGAAAAAGTGAAGTGGTTGTTGAGCCAAACGGTCAACTCGGGGCCCCTCGGGCAATCGTATATCATGGCGATTGGCGAGCTAGGCCTTGATCGGCAAAACCTGTATGCAACTTGACAAGCATCCTTTTCATGGGATGGCGAAGCAAGTACCATGTGCATGACGAGCGACATTGCAGGACGACCATGGTCGTCGTTCAGCTTGAGCCACATGGGCAGCTGAACGGAGCCACGTATTGCAGACCAGACATGCACCTCCTTCCCCACCATTCTCTGGGGTAAGGGACACCAGCTGGGAGAGATATCGCCACAAATCGAAATTGCCATCGGCCTATGTATGGGCAGCGCTTGGGTGCCTTTGTGCCAATTCCTGTCGGCCTCTGTCCAATGTGCCGCCAACATCCTCTCAGACTTGTCCAGCGCGAAGCTTTGGCAGCCAAATTGGCACCGACTCCGTGATAGAGTTGCAATGCCATCCTGTGTCCAAGAAGAAAAGAAAAGTGGTTCAACCACTCAGCCTGTATCCGGAAGCTCCTCGACGGGTAACAGGGGAGATAACTACTGATCTCACCGGGGGGGCTAGTATCACGTCAACTGTCCTCAAAACAGCTGTGCCTGCTCTGATGATCAAACTCAATTGGTCGAGTCCATTGGATGACCAGGGGTTCCTTCAGATCTGCCCACCAATGTTGGTCAGCTTGATATGTGTCAATGGCAAATACTCCCCCTGAGTTACCAAATTGAAGCGCTACGATTCAGGCAGTGCTTAATTCATGCCGAAACTGCCAGATTCGGATGTGGCCACTAATCTCTGCCCTCCCAGCATCTGACAGAAACAAAGCCTCTCGAGACGTCTCACAAGAAA